TTAAATAAAAACAATTTTACAGACAATTACCCTTAAACACACACAAATTGTAATAACTCAAACGCTACTCATTCAAATTTCAAGTGAGATTCATCAAAATATTACAAACATAATATCATCTTCTCGACAATGTAATGTACAGTAAAAATGGCTGACAGAGTGGAATTAGATTTGATACAGGACACTCCTTAACTTATTGCTGATTACAAACGATGTATATATTAATCAAACGAAACACACTCARAGACTGAATCAGATAATCATCAACTCTCTTTTGTCCTTCACAAGTGAATACCTTATGTATTAAAGCTTAACCTAGTTTTCTGTGTTACTGCTTAATTTATTGTGTGAAATCGTTAACAAGATTCAATAAATTGTATACATTTTGCTKAACATATTATCCTAACCTAGTTTTTAATTCTAATAATGTTTATGTAGTATAATAAGTATACACCAAGATACTTGTACCCTAATTTATGTATCATTGGAGAATAAAAACTTTTGAGTATACCTGGGTAATGACCTAGTGTATACCAATGTATTTACTCAAGATTGACTATCCATGTTTGCCCAGTTTATACCTTAATTCTTTATCATTATTAGGTAATTTATTTTGAARTATAATATTTTAAAATTATTAGTACGTTAAAGAACCATCATTCCCTTTTATCCTTTTAGTATTCATAAATTATTTAGTCTTATAACTGCTATTATAGGTTTGGTTCATAAAATAAAATCATGAAAAAATTTATTTAGATATTTTAATTTTTTTTTTTTCATGATTCTTATGTTATATTATTTGACATAGATATCTGATTAGTACAGCTAATTTATGTAGATATTTCCAAAACCTTAGGTATATTTTGTCATCATATTATATTCAAACATTTGAAAAGAAGTAATATTTTGTTAGTGCATGGTAATATAGACGAGGGTATTCATACAGGTGTTCACTACGCTCAAGACCACCCTAATTATATAATTGAATTATGCAAGTATTAAAATTCCATTCCTAGAATTGTTTGTATAGTAGTACGTAAAGATTATAATATTTGTTTATACTGACTTATTTATTTATATGCCGTTTAAGAAATGTCCAATGGAGAACCTAATCTCAGCTTTTTTGTATAAAATACGAAAATTAAATAATAATAAATAATTTAATAAAATACGATTATTATTTTTATTAAAATTGTCACCATATTAGAATCGCTTTTTAATAACTTCTATAATTGTTAACCTACAGATGAACATCTGTAGGTTGGTTTTACTTTAAAAACTAGTAACACTTTCCCAAATATTAATTAACCAAGTAGACAGTAGTCGTGTTCAAAAAATTCAATAATAGTTTGGCAATGTTTTTATCTATTATTGAATTATTCGACACATATTAGAAACACTATATCTAATATTGGATTTACAGATAGTATTCTAAGTAATTTTGTACGTAAAATAATTTTTTGTCTTTTCAACTACAATCAATTTTTAATATTTAATTTTATAATTTTTATTCATTCTCGGATGAGCCTTGGCGCCCCTTTGATGAGCTCGCGGTGCCCTTACGGCACCGCGGTGCACAGGTTGGGAACCGCTGCATTACATATTATACCTACATACAAAATATATTGGTTGAGTTTTTGTATTAGGAACTAAATAGGTATAACGATTTGGTTATAATTAATTTAATATAATGTAAAAAAAAATGTTGATTTAATTTAATTTAATTTACAATATGGGCGATTTCGCCCGATTTTAAAAGATAGGTTTTCATACCTATTTTAGGTCTATGATTAAGTACTATATTTCAATATAACTATTGTAATGTATAATTATTTAACTGATTTAAGATAGTTATATTAAGAAATTGCTTTGGTATATTAAATAAAAAAATACAACATAATTGAATGCTAAAACTATTTATTTATTAAGAGTGAACAATTAATACTAATCTAATAACTCATATGATCGCATAATATAAAACTAGCGTTAACAGTTTAGTTGTAATAAGTAAGTATTAATAGTGTTTCGTATAATGACGATTTTTTCTAAGCTTATCCATTTAAGAGTGTATAGAATCAAAACTGTATCATATTCAATCACAGCGGTAGTAGTGAAAGCTGTAAACAAAATTGAATTTTGGTTTATTTTAAATTCTATATTAAAACAAGGTACCTATTATATTATAAAACACACGGCTTGAATAATAAAATCCAGTATTTGTATAATATAGTTTAGTTAATCAAATTAGAMTTAACATATAAATGTTAATTTTTGTATATTTTTGTTGTGACTTACTGTTTTTGGATTTATTTTTATACCACAGTTAAAAAATTTGAATGCAGCTTCACAACCATCTTCCTTAACATCTACATACATAAGAAAAATAAAATAAAATTATTCCTCTCCAAACTGTTTCATTATTTTAGAAACCAATATTATACTGTTGTATCGTATATTAATTGAATGGTTGTATTTTAGCTAGTTAAATACAGTGAAATTTCAATACGTTTGTGAATAGGTACTGAAAATATAATTAAACMATAAATATTGTTTCATATTAGAGTTACTTCAGGCATTAGAGTTATAGATGAGTACTTAGGTAACATGGGACAAGTGTTGTGATTTTATAATTCTGACAATAGCCTGGCTTGAATTTTGCCAATATGTATTACAGTAAAGACATTTTTTCCACTAGGAATCGAAAGCTGACGATAAAATTTAACGTTAGCCGGTTGAATCAAGAGGTRGATATGTTATCAAACTGGATGAAAATTTGTCATCTAATATCTGAGTTACAGTTGTTACGAATAATTTGTTCAAAATAAAAAAAAAACTTAGTTAGTTAGGTTTATAAAAAATATTACTTGTTTTACAACTCGTGACGATTTGTTGAACGGTTGACTTCATGTTGTCATCAGCCATTAATATCAATGATTCCCCGTCTATAATACCATCTTCATCGATCTAATCGATGGAAATAAATTATTATATTAATTTGTAAACATCATATTATTAGCTCTGATTATTTTTCTTACCAATGATAGCTCATCAAAGCAACACCTTAAAAAACACTAAAAAAATAATATGTTCGTTAATATAAATATATCTGTCTATATTATAAAATATGACATAATTATAAATTACTTATTTATACCACAAACCTTATAGTTCGTTGATTTTAATATATATTGTTTTATACAATACCACTTTCCATAAGATATATTGACAAAAAAAAATAAATAGTTCAACCTATCACATATTGATTAAAAAAAAATTTAAATACTAAGGTATGAATTTATAACTGTTCATTCAAAATTAATTTGTTACACATTAAAATAATAAATAGAAATTAATCGATTAAAATACATAGACATGTTCAAAAGATTCGTGAGTTTTCGAACACTATAAAATAAGCTATCATAATATAGCTTATCAAATCCTAGCTATATAATACCTTCAACAAATATATCATCATTACAATTTGAAATACGAGTATATTTTTAACTTAAAATGTTTTATTAAAAGTAAAAATAATTTACAAGTTACAATTTAAGTTATAATTTTACTATATTATCTCGGCAGGGTTGGTTCTTATTGTTAAATCKACTTTAATATAATATTAAAGTTAAATACCATGACATCCATGTTATATAATCTTTCTAATTGAAAGTTTTATGAATTTAATTTTATGATTTTAATACTCAATATAAAATATATGTTAATCATATTATCAAATAGTTTCATCGTAAACAAATGCAATGTTCCTAATGGTATTACAATGATTTGAACCACTCACTTTAAGATTTGGATCGTCTGAAAWTTCTGAGTTTTTAAGATTGTTCTTTATTTCTGAAAACAAATTTAGGAACATGCAATTTATTTTACATTATTAATCGACTTATAACATACGCAGAATCATTACCTTCTGTAATTGGAAACTTTCCAGCACATGCATTGTACAGTTGCTTTTTAATTTCCTCTAGATCATCTGGTTGTGGTCGTGTCTGACAAATTTAAACTGTGTAAATTATATCATTGCTTGACAATGGAAAAATTAAATGATAACCCATTACACTTACGGATGACTGTACTACCAACAATGCCATTACAATTGCAAACACTACGTTTGTGATACATAAATGTTCCATTTTACTTCACAGAGACAACTCGGTTTGCTTCAGTGTTCTGTCAGTTGAAAGATATTAGCGACYGAAGGCAGTTAAGTGTATTTATTCTAGCAGAACAATGTAGTTGACAACGCAATGAACTATAATTTTAAATATCCTTTCATATTATTATCAACCATGTGTATACTTAATTTTGAAATCAATTATAACGTTATGTATTCTGTTCATAGTGGGTACCCCACCGTCGAATTAATGTCATATTTAAGTACAATGTCGATAGTTTCTGTGTATAATTATTATCATTATTATCGTGATGAATGGAACGAAAGTTGTTTTGCACAAGCCACCGGAAAAGTGTTTTTTAGTTAATTTTCAAATAAATTAGGCTTTTAGTATTGTAATCATTCATTATCAATGTAAAACCTAATATTTGTTAGTCATAATAAATTTCAACTTTATTATTATTTATTAATGACCAGATTGGTCAAGGATTTTTTTGTCAACTAATTTTTGCGATTTATTTTCCCATATATATTAATATTTTTCATCTTTGAAGTTTTATGTAGACAAAAATAAAAGTGATTTCTCAAATATATATATTAAAAATATAAATTTAGTACAATAAGTTTAAATTGTTAAAATATTTACTCATTCATCAATAAACAGTTGTTTGCAGTAACCTCGAGTTTGAGACGTAGTACAGTTTTTGAGCTTTGCTTATAGCAATAGAAATATAACGTTGTGTAATATTCTGTATTAAGTAAAATATAGTTATGCTTAATTTTATTTTCTGTTKAAATTTTCCACAATTGATGGTTTCAGTTAACTGGTTTATACATTATTGTTATGAATAATTTAATTTAATTAAGACTATGTTGAGGTTTTTTCTTTGTACAGAAAATAAAATATAATTACAGATTACAATTTCACAGTCTGACGTACATTAAAGTCTACGCCTGACGAATAGTTTGAGTAAAAGAATACATAATATATTCAATTTAATTTTTGATTCTGAGCGGAGCGATGAATGTATTGATTTTACCATGATGTGTTTTTTTTT